TTTACTCAAGAGCCTGGGGCTTGCACAATGATAGTGTAAATAGCTAAGGGTGATGTTACATAAGACTCCAAAGTCTTATGCAAAATATGAGCAATGGAGAGCTTGCTTCAGTCAACCTTTCTCTCGAGCTCTGAAAGCATCAGTTTAACTTTTATCTGCTTGGTTGAACCCTTCAGGTGCTAGGTGTTGCAATAGATTGTGTTGATATTTGCATAGAAGATATTGTAAGAGGAGTATTTTGGGCATGGTTAATTTTATGAAGAAAACATTCACTTTTGGCTTTATTTTCAATAACAGTTCAGTTGACTTATGACCAGGTGTTCTGGGTGATAATAGTGGGTAATGGTTAAGAGCAAGGGCTAGAATGATAAATAGAATTAGCTCTTGGTGTGTCCCCTTGAAAAGTGCAAGTTATGAAAAGTCTTTGAACCTCGGGTTCCCTTGTCGGTGAGAAGGGAGTGATGCTATCTACATTGAGAGGACTGGATGAGAAGAGTATACAATAAGCATACAATGCCTGGCCTGGCACAGACCTGGACTACACAAGGAGTAGTAGTAGGAACATCTAACGTGTATTGCATACCTTTTCTCCTTTCTGCACACTTCTCCTTCAGAAAGATTCTTTCATAGGAATAGGTACTGACTGGACATTTCTAAATTTCTATGTTAACAGTGGTTGAGGCTTCAGATGTTGAAGTTATCTTACCTGTTTGAAATATTGGCTGTGCTACTTACCAAATGCCTTTGACTGAGTCACTTCGGCTTTCTGTGCTTTGGTTTCCTGCTCTATAATAGACAAGTAATAATATAATAGAACCAGAACCTATTGTAAGAGTTGTGTCTAGGATTAAGTAAAATATTATAACTAATATACCTAGGAGAGAACCTGGCGTGCCATCAATGTATCTATTATTGTTATTTTTGATTTCTGCCAACTGAAGGAATGTCTCAATGGAAATCAGAACGTAACACTAAGTAAGTTTTTCATGTACTTTTATTAACAACTTAATACAAGACTGTACATAGTATGTGCTGAAATCAACCCACTCCTGAAAAATGAAAAACCAGCATTTCTACTTCAGGATTTGGCTCCAAGGGCCATCTTCTACAGCAAAAAATCACATAGTGTAACCAAACAAATTCAGAACAGGCGAAGAAACTGTTCCACCGGAATGGAGAGATTATTTATACACAAACAGCTGAGGGTCATTTCTAGCTTAAGTGACTCACTGCACATTCTGGAATGTTCAGTTCCCTTTTCTACAGTTCTACAGTCAGACATACAGCAAACTAAGGAATTGGCCACAGGTCCTGCCTAGACACTCATCAACATGAAACACAAAAATATTTATATAAATAAGTCAATTAAACCTCACAAAAACTAAACACAAGAAAAAAATCCAACAGGTAATACAAACTGTACAGTACTGGTCAGTCTTTTATAGCTGGAAAAAATGTATAACTTTAAAAAAAAAAGTTCTTCCATGTATAAACGTCTTTTATATCAGTGTTAGCTGGAGTGAAAACTTGAAGACTCGGACTCAGTTGAAACAGAAGAATGTCCACCCCGCTTTCCCTTGGAGAGGATCTTGAGGCTGGACCCTCTGCTCACTGAGGTGAGTGCATGCTGGGCGGAGGATTTAAATTTGGCTCCAAGGAAGGCATAGAGGATGGGATTCAGGCAACAGTGGAAAAAGGCGAGGGCCTCGGTGATGGAAATCCACTTGTGCACAGTGTTCTCAAACTCACATCCTTGCTTGATGATTTCCAGGAGGATGAAGGAGTCGATGCTGAGCCCAATGTAGTAGGGTAGCCAGCAGGCAAAGAAAGTCAGGATGAGGATAACTGTGGTCTTGAGGGCCTTGCGCTTCTGGTAGCCCTTGGAGTGGGACAGCTTGGAGATGATAATGCAATAGCAGGACAGGATGACGATACCCGGCAGGACAAGGCCGACCATGATGTGCTGGAACTGGAACACCACCATCCACACGTCGTTGGGGTAGAAGCGGTCACATATATACCTGTCTTCCCCAACCCTGACGTTGGCAAAGATGAAATCGGGAATAGCCAACAGGAGAGCAGGTATCCAGACACCAACATAGACCACCTTTTCAGCTAACAGCTTCCGTGGCCTCTGACTGTTGGTGGCGTGGACGATGGCCAGGTAGCGGTCCAGGCTGATGAAGGCCAGGATGAGGACACTGCTGTACAGGTTGACCGTGTAGATGACATGGACAGCCTTGCACAGGAACTTTCCAAAGTACCAGTTTGCCACAGCATCAACTGCCCAGAAGGGCAGGGTGAGGACGAAGAGGAGGTCTGCCACGGACAGGTGTAGTCTGTACTTGTCTGTCATGCTTCTCAGTTTCTTCTGGTAGCCCATGACCAGGATGACCAAGCCATTGCCCACTATGCCAGTCAAGAAGATGATGGAGTAGATCGTGGGCAGAAAGATCCGGTTGAAATGGGCATTTTCCTCTCGGAAGCAGGGTTCCTTTATGGAGTCATAGTCACCTGAACCCATGTCCTCCTCCGTGTAGTTATCTGATGGGTATATCTGCAAAAGAGGCAAGGGGAATAGGCATTCAATGTCAAGTTCAGCAGATATTCCTCAACTTCAAAACAAAAATGTTTCTGCTATTTTAAGACAGCAATTTTTAAGACCCAACTCAGCCCAGCCTTCTTCAGTAAATTCTGCTCCTACTGAAGTACTTGGGAATATGAAGCACAAGAAAATTATTCCAGAATCCTAGAACCCTCCTCCCAAAGTCACTTCATTATAGTCCCCTTTAGAAGAGCCAATTACAAAATTCTTGGTTTTGAACAAAAGGGCGCGGAGATTCAGAAGGTTTCAAAAGTCGCGTCTTTGCTAACTTCTGCTCCGCCCACTAGAGGTTAGAAAAAAACCTTCAGAGAAAAAAACCAAAACAAAACAGAGGCCACTCCAGCGAGGGTGGGTTCTGAGGAGCTGGGGTTAACTTTCTGCGTGAAGATCCGCCAGGAGGAAGGAGTGTGTGTGTGTGTGTGTGTGTGTGTGTGTGTGTGTGTGTGTGAGAGAGAGAGAGAGAGAGAGAGAGAGACCCCAAAGACTGTAGACTTTATTCTAAAGCACAAAACTTTGCTTTCCCCACGTTTATCGCATGTCTAAACACAAACCATCGTGTACTTCAAGCAACATGTGTTAGGGAGGGAGAATGCAACCTTAAAAAGCAAAGGCTGGGGGCGTCAGAAGTGAGTAACCCCTCTCGCCCCCCTCAGCTGAAGCTCCTCGGGGTGGCCTGCCTTTGCGAATCCACATTTATCTCTTGGCGCGTGGGAGGTAGGGAGGCAGCATTATCCCGGGAGGGGAAGGTCACGGGGACTGCACCCGTGGTACTCGCCCCAAGTTTCAGTTCCTCACCCTCCCGGGTCGCTTTCCACCCCACCACCGAGCCAGTTAATGGGGTCGGGGGTCTGCAGCTGGACGCCTCCAGGCGGAGAGCGCGCCAGGGGCGGGGTGATCCAGCTCCGAGGCCCCGGTGTTCTCTCCCCCGGCCTGCGCCTACCCCCCCCCC